GGTGGACAGCCATTAATGACAGGAGGTTCTGTATCTTGACCGGTGAACACTGAAATCAAGTAACAAACAATGGGCATGTTATAGTCCGTACACTGATGCAAACAAGTATTTTAAGCAAAAGTGTAAGGTTGTGGAGTTTATGTAATGATGTCTAAGGTTACTGAGTATGTGTAATGACGTGAAGATATATGGAAATGTGACAGTTGTAAACCTCTTTTGAGTTTGATATTCTTAGAACTGTTTTTATCGCAGTCTTAATAAGCAACAACCATCTACTTGCCGAATATCGAACAACCCTTACTAACAGGGTGCTATAGCCGCCGTAGAAATTGAGATCCTCTGCCCGCTTTTCAGCTATTATTCTCGGCCCACGCTTGAGCAAACACGGTGAAAGAAGGCAGACCCTGGCTCTTATGTATATAGTAATTGGTCTTTGTGCGTAGCCCAGAAATGAAAAGACCGATTTTGCATCGTAATCACCAGCTTCACAACAGTCCCCACTTTAAAAAGAGGCAACAGGAATGTGGAAGCTTGAGTAGAACCGCATGCCACTGAACAATCAGCCTTTTCACCATGTAATTCAAAGCGTGCAGAGCACGCTGGGCCACAAACCCAGAATTTGCGGTTTGGCAGGTGGCCTTCGTAGCCAAGCGAGGCTGGAATTCTTGGAGTAGGCTTTCGAAAAGAAATTCCCGCCGAGAAGGAGTTAAAGTACTTCTTGAATGTTCATCTTGCATTTTTTGAGATTTGTTTAGGTGTACCACATTAGCGACCATTCAGCTGAATTCTTGCCAAATTTCAAAATTCTGATGTTCTTCTGACACTGAAATTGTTCACAAAAATTCAACAGCGTGTAATATGAAGATTGTTGTACTTGTACTTAATGAAATGATTGTCAGGTTTTCAACGAGAGGTTTGGCAACAAAGTAGGAGGAAAGTCAAGTGTAAGTCAACAGTGCAAGTCAAGTATATCAACACTTGTTCCAAATAGTGCCCAATTAGACTCCATTTCAATTTTGCTTTAAGCACTAGTTCAGCTTAATAGAACGTGAATTTTTTGGGTTTAATTATCTTGCTGCCATAACGGTGATTTCAAACACCTCAGAGGGTGTGTTAAGTGCTACACCAAATCCGTTTACAAATTTAGTGCAAAGTCTGCGATTTTAGTTAAAGCGCTTCCTGTTCTGTAAAATTCTTCCATGTTTAGCCAGTTCAGTCGACTCAGAGTTAATCAACTGAATGGAGCAATATTTTACCTTCACTTTAACAAAAGGTGTAATTTAATCAAACTCTAAATATTTTGATTCATAAATGTTGATTTCATATACCCGCTACAAAGTTCCGATGACACGTTAATTTGGTCCAATTTTCCCATTTTTCTCCAAAATGCAAAATGAAATACACCCCAAAATATTTTTTTGTACAATTTTTAGTTAGGTGAGTGGAGGTAATAATTATTTACTAAAATTTATCACTTTTTTGAACTTCTGAAATTTTTGTGGGATTTTCTGAGATTTTTTAAATAATAATGTTCATATCATTTGCTCGTCTCCCAGTGCCCGATTCAAAGTGCAGGATGAAGAGCAAATTCATACACCAGGCCAATTTACAATACGCTGTGAATATTGAGTACTGAAGTAGGGGGCCTATGCATGTCTATACATGCATCCTTCTGTTTGCGACAAACATGGAACTTGTTCGATGTTGCGTTCCAAAGCACATTATGATAGACCTTTTTATAAAAATATGTGTTCACAGTGCCAAAAGTTCCACTTTTGGGTTTGACGACCCTCCCCCCCCCCAGTCTCTGGTCAGGCAACGGGCCTGAGCATGATGAAGATTGTAGCACAAGTCCTTAAACAAAAAGGATGTCAGGTTTTCAACGAGCGGTTTGGCAACAAAGTAGGAGGAAAGTCGAGTGTAAGTTGAAGTGCGCCACGTTAGGGGATCAACAGTATAACACACTCACCTGTCACAGTGACAGCGAAGGTGCAGGTTGCGGTGTTCTGAGATGGATCGGTGAAGGTGTACGTCACTTGTGTCGTTCCAAGCGGGAAGCTTTGGCCTGGTGAGCGGCTGGACGTGACTGTCACAGTTCCTCCGGAATTGTCAACTGCCGTCGGCTCTACCCAACTGGCAACTGCTGAGGTGGCACCGGCAGGGGCTGTTACGGGCACACCTGCTGTGGGACAGCCGCTGACCACTGGGGGAGTGGTGTCAACCACACCTCCTGGAGAAAAGGGAAAAAAATATCAAAAATAGATTACCACAAAATATACCCGTCAAAGCTCTGCATTTATATCAACACTTGTTCCAAAGAGTGCCCAATTAGACTCCATTTCAATTTTGCTTTAAGCACTAGTTCAGCTTAATAGAACGTGAATTTTTTGGGTTTAATTATCTTGCTGCCAAAACGGTGATTTAAAACACCTCAGAGGGTGTGTTAAGTGCTACACCAAAACGGTTTACAAATTTAGTGCAATGTCCACGATTTTAGCTAAAGCGCTTCCTGTTCTGTAAAATTCTTCATTTTTTAGCCAGTTCAGTCAACACGGAGTTAAGCAACAGGCTTTTGGTGGCAAACTTTTGTTGGTAAATAGGCATGTTGGTCCAGCATTCCACATATGTACACATTGCACGGCTGCCACGTTGTCACACATACTCGTGAATGTGACTTTTGCCATTTGCCACTGGTATTTCCACTCTGCCAATTCTTCAGGTTTCTGTTGCTGATCACTGATCATGAGAAATTATAACAGGCATTTCAAGAGTTTATCGTGGCAAAGCCTTCTGATGACAAAAAAAAAAAACAGGTCAGTGCTGAGATGAGCAAACAGGAGCAAGCACTCCCTGACCCTGCTCGGCAAGAGCAATTGCTGTTGTGGGCCTCTAATTCCACCGTGACAATATCGTCTAGTATCCCAAAACTGAAAACGGAGCAGTGATTTTCCTCTTTTTTTTTCTCTTTAATCAATAGCCGGACACAATTAAAACTTCAAAAATTGATTAGCTCCATCTTTTTAAAAATTGTCTTCTTGTGAGGATTTATTAAAACATTAAACTGGACTAATATCTTAAACGTAGTTCCGGCAGAAAGGGAACCATTCTGCATGCGCATTGAATGTTATAAATGCATTTGTTGAAAGA